AGATTGCCCAACCTTCCTTCCAAGGAGTGGCTGGTGGGTTTGAACCGCCAGCCTTCTGGTTAGCAGCCAAATGCCTTAGGCACTACACCACCAGGGCCGCCAAACAGCCCATAATCTCTGTGGAAGCAGATTGCCAGGTCTTTCTTCTGCTGGACTGCTGGGTGGGTTCAAACCACCAGCCTTTCTGTTAGCAGCCAGATGTTTAACTACCTGCCACCAGGGCTCCTACTAAATGAATAGCAATGACTTTATGTCCAAAGGTGACTAGCATCTGAAGAGCAGTAAAGCCAGGAAGTGGTGTGGCAGCTTCACAGCAGGTGGTGGTAGACTTCTCCAAGAAAGAGACATTCGGGCAATAGCCTTAAGGTGGGAAGGGAGAGAGGGCCTGTGGCTCTGAAGGGAAAGAGCTGAGCTGAGGTGACAAGGAGTATGGCTGGCGTCCAATTCTGGAGACTTCAAGGGCAGGACCTTAGTATCATGATTTGTGGTACAAATTCAAGGTTGAAGGAATTGTTTGGGGAGCAGAGGTCCTGCCTGGGAGCCCACAGGGACCAGGTTCCCAAGAATGGCCTGAGGCTCTGCCTGACCATGGGACAGAAGACACCATTCTCTTGGTACCTGAGGTAGTGCAGGTAAACACCAACTGGTTGAAGGCCTTGTTGGAGCCTCAGCCTTCTCCAGAGGCAAACTGCACCTGGCTGAAGTGCTAGGTTGCCCAACAATGACAGCTGGGTCCCTGGAGACTTCTCAGGAGGCCGTGTAGCCTGGGTGATAGGTATTCTGGGATTCAGCAATCCCTGTTCAGCAGTTCTTATCTCAAAGCTGAATCTTTCCTCCACCCACCATGGGCAACCTTGGCCAAAAGGCTCAGGAAACGCACCTGGTTCCAGGAGTGAGTCTTTCATACAACTGTCTGGGTGCTAAGCTGGGGAAACTGGAGAAATGGACCACACCCTGGATCTCCCAGAGCTTCCAGCCCAGGAGACCAAACCCAATCCACTGCCATTGGGTTTCCAAGGTCATAAATCTTTACAGAAGCAGATTGCCTCATCTTCCTCCTGTGGAGCAGCTAGTGCGTTTGAACCACTAACCTTCTGGTTAGCAGCCAAATGCCTTAACCACTGCACCAGAGCTCCTTCCCTGCCCAGAGGCAGACCATAAACTAGTAAACCAGTAAACAAGGCCATTTCCTAAGCAGGTCATGTTGGTGTGGTGGGGATAAGAGGGGTGAGGGCTGCTTTAGGTCCAGAGGTCAGAGAGACCCACCCAAGAGGTTACCCTTGTGAGATCTGAATTATGGGATGAGCGAGCTAAGTGAAACTTGGGGGGAAAGTTCCAGGCAGAGGGAACAGCCCATGCAAAGACCCTGCTGGTGGCATTTAAGATACAATGAGGAGGCCAAGGTAACCAAGCCCAGGTAAACAAGAAGAGGGGAGGAGGAAATGAGGTGGGAGGAGTCATGAAGTCTTTCAGGCCACAGGAAGACATCTGGGCCTCCTTCTGAGTGTGATAGGAAGCTATTGGATGGTTTAAAGCTGGGAAGAGAGATAATCTCTTGGCCTCAGGGGAGCTCTTGCTCTGTGTCCTTCCCTCTTTGGCAGGAAGATGGGATTTCAGGGCCTGTGAATCTCCCTTCATTCTTAGCTCTGGGGGACAGAGGCTGAGATGTCTGATTACTGTTTCCTTGTCTCCAGGGGGTTGTGAGGTGAGTGATACCAGCAAGTCTCCAGCAAGAACTTAAATACCTGACAACCCTGGGTGAGTCTCCTAGGGCTGCCGCCACAAATTGCCACAAACTTGGTGGCTCAAAACAGCAGAAAGTTCTCTCACTGTGCTGGAGGCCAGGAATGTAAAGTCAAGGTGGCTGCCCCACCAGGCGCCTGGCAAAGGCGCCAGGGAGCAGTCTTTCCTTAGCTCTTCCCAGCTTGTGGCTGCAGATGTTCTTGGCTTGTGGCTGCCTGGCTCCTGACTCTGCCTCTGTCCTCCCAAGGCCTTATCCTTTATTTCTGTGTCACCTCGTCTTCTGTCTCTTCTGGCATCTGTCCTTGGATTTAGGGTCCGGGTAATCCACAATGACCTCGTCACCAGATCCCTCATTTAATGACATCTAGAAGGATCCTTTTACCAACTCAGATCACTATCATAGGTTCCAGGAGTCAGGGCACAGACATATCTTTTGGGAAGGGCACTATTAAATCCACCACAGACCCTAAGAACTGCAAGGAAAGGGGGAAAAAAAAAATAATAAAGTAACAATTGAAGGACGAAAGCATTTCCATTGAATGTTGTTGTTGTTAATGTGCCGTCAAGTCGGACCTGACACATAG